GCGGGGGGAGGGGCGGGGGCGGGGCGCGGGCCGGGGGCGGGGCCGAGCCTTCCCTCCATTGTGTGTGATTGGCTGGCGCGCGGCGCGGGGGCGGGGCGGCGTGTGTTGGGGGCTAGCCTCGGTGTCAGCCATCTTTCAATTGTGTTCGCAGCCGCCGCCGCGCCGCCGTCGCTCTCCGACGCCAGCGCCGCCTCCAGCTCGCCGAGCTCCAGCCGAAGGAGAAGGGGGGTAAGTTTCCCCGTCCGCCCGCTCCCCGCGCCCGAGCCCCGCTGGCCGTCCGCCCCGGGCCGGGCCCCGGCGGCGCGGGAGCGGCCCCGCAGCCCCTCGGGCTCGGCCCACAAACTTTTTGGCCCCGAAATGGAGGCGCGGAGCGAGTTTGCCTCCCGCGGGCGGCGGCGGCGGCTCCCCCGTCCCTCGCCGCCTCAGCCCAACGGCAGCCGCCGCCGCGGCGCCGAGCTGCTCCCTCCTCCCCGCGCCCGGCTCCTCTTTCTTCGCTGAAAGGCCGCCCGCCGCCCCTTCCCGGGACCCCAGACCCTCACCACGACGCGCGCGGGCCCCTTAACTGCCGCCCCCGGGCCCCGGCCCCCAGTTTTCGGGCGGGAAAGGGGTGGAAATCGCCGCCGCTTCGCACCCCGGGGTAACTCGCTTTCCGCTGCCTCCCCACAGTTGTAGCTCAGCTTCACCATCTTGTCTCTCCTCTCTGGTCACCGACCATATTTTTCTCCCCCGTTTCTCTCTTCCCCATTTCGAAAAAGGAGGAAAAATTTTTTAAAGAGGGACCTGTTTTTTTCTTTCCTTTTTTGGAGAAGCGGAAACTTGATGCTCTGGAAATGCAAAAAAAAAAACTTTTGCATTTCGGAGGGCGGCACGTGGCAGGGGATCGGGGGGTTTTTTCGAGCGTTTTGGTGTTTTTGTGTGTCTGGCAGGGAATCGGATACGTGGGGCGATTGTTTCCATTTTGTTCTGGTCTGGGCGCCGAGTTGGTGGCCGCGCGGGGCGCGGGGCGGTCGGGCCGGGGGCCGGGACCCGGGCCGGAGGAGGCGAACCCAAAAGTTTACGTGCCGCCGGGTGGCCGGTCCCGGGCGTTAATTGCAGCCCGGGTGCGGGGCACTTTTATTTGGCTGCGAAGCCCGGAGGACTGGACGGAGGACGGCGCTTTGTAGAAGGCTCGCTGGTGCTCGCTGTTGTTCCTCTCTTGTTTTTCGAGACGCCTTTTTGTCAACACAGCTGTAAAAGATGCAAAACCGGGAATGTTTTGAGATATTTACAGCGATCTATCAACTGCCAGGCGCGGGGGGCTCGCGGGGGGGCGGCCGGCGGCGGGGTTGGGGGGGGCTAAGACCTTTTTTTTTTGCAGTAATTTGACTCGACCCTTCTCTGGTTTGTGGCTTCGTTCTTTTGACTTGTTTGTGGCTCGAATGTTTACAGACATTTCTAATTTCTAGTTTAATTAAAGAAATGGAAGCCGAGGCTGTTGGGGGGGGGGTCTTTTTGTTTTGCCGTTGGTCGCTCGGATTTGGGGATTTTTGAGAGATGATTTGCGTGAATGGTAACGATTTTCTAGTACTACAGTTTGTTTCAAGAAGTCGTATTTGGGTGGCAGGCATAATCTGCACCCTTTCAAATTATATAACATTACGGACGTTATGTTTTTATACGGAGCATAATTTGCAGATTTCGGGGGCGGGGGCAGTGACAGGGGAACTTGTATGTTTGGCAGTGGCATATGGTGATTTTTGTTTTTTTAATGCTGGTAGGTAAGTAAGGAGGTCTCTATACCATGGCTCGTACAAAGCAGACTGCCCGCAAATCGACCGGTGGTAAAGCCCCGAGGAAGCAGCTGGCTACAAAAGCCGCTCGCAAGAGTGCGCCCTCTACTGGAGGGGTGAAGAAACCTCATCGTTACAGGTATTCAGAAAGGAAAGGAAAAAATGGGGCGAAGTCTGTCTGCCGAAGCAGTATCCGTGTGATCTAACGAAAAGATGTATAATAAGCAAACTTTTTGCTCTAGGGAAACTGATGTTTTTTTCCTTTTGAGTATTTACTAATACTTAAAAATATGTGCAAAATTTACTGTTAGGTTTTATTGGGAACTTGTATAATTTTGAAGCCATAATCTTACCCGTGGCCCAAAGGAGACCTATTGCATCATAAAGAACGTTAATAGGACGGAATAACGTTTTATTTAGCCGTTGTTAGTAGTATATATTTTTTAAATAGTAAAGTGGGATTTTTAAAATACATTTTTGAGGACACCCTTGCTTTTGGTAAAATAGTTTAATCAAGATGGGATGTTTTGTTTTAGTAAAGCTCCCATCCCTCATTTACTTGAGTCGGTTTATTTCCTCCTTTGGGCGCCTTTGGTTTTGAACTGCCCTGAGCAGTGTTGTTAAAGGCATCTGCCATTAGAGGGCAGAAGGTGTCCGTGCTTAGGTGGCCTCTGCAAATGATTTTACAGTTAACCTAAACTAAAGCTCGTACAGTGGGGGAAATAAGTCAGAACTGAGTTCCATTTCTTGCTGATAGTTACTTAGTTTTAAAAAAAAAACCTCTTCTGTGTGGAAGATACACTGCACAATCAAATTTAATTCATTAATTCAAATGTAATCATTGACGAGGGATGGGCAGGTAAAGTAAAGAGATTCTGGGAAATTGAGCTTACATACCACAAATGTACTTGTGTTGGGAGGTCTTTTAGAAGAATTGAGGGTGCAGGTGGGAAGGAGGCGAGTGGTGCCAAATTAAGAAGAGTCTGAAGAATTTTGACTTCTATATTAGTGGCCTGATACCGTCCCAAGTTGTAATTATAACAGAAGTTAAGAGGCGTGTATATATATAAATGTTAAAGATGAAGAAAATAAATGGGACTTTTTGATAAACTCCCTGTCAGGAATCTCCTTTAATGTTAATATTATGCCTTTTGCTTTAAAGTTATTGTTATGTTACTCTTAATAGACACGAATGTTCAGGTCATGAATTGATAAGTGAAATTTGATGCAGAGGCTGAAGAGTAGTTGGGCGGTTTATTTTTTGAAGAATGACTGTTTCTTTATAGCTGACCACTCATCCTTTCATGCATTTGGTAACCATTTCTTTCATGTTGATTTTTTTAAAGGCCTGGTACTGTGGCACTCCGTGAAATTAGACGTTATCAGAAGTCCACTGAACTTCTGATTCGCAAACTTCCCTTCCAGCGTCTGGTGCGAGAAATTGCTCAGGACTTCAAAACAGATCTGCGCTTCCAGAGCGCAGCTATTGGTGCTTTGCAGGTAAAATGGTGGGTGGGAAAGGCTCTGAGAGTTGGTGGTCCTGCTGTGTGCCAGGACAACTCTGAATATCTTCATATGCTTATATAACTTAATCATCACAAGCCTGTGAGTCAGTGCTATCTGTATTTCACTGTTGGGGTGTTAAGGTTAAGTTACTCAAGATTATACACACAGAAAATGTAATTCGAATCCATTTGGGTCACAATCGTAATTTGAACACGTTTGACTCTAAAACCTACTGTGCGTTCCATTAGACCATTGTAAATATTGCACTGAGAACTGTGTGTAAAGGAAAAAGACGCTCTGTTTTGGCTTACGGGCACTGCAGGACGGTCTGCAGACACGCGGCTCAAAGTTTGTATTGGTAATCGGTTTCAAACAGTGGCTGCTGTAAACTGATGATCACAGTAACTGTCCTGGCCCTGAGGAGGCAGGTGCAGGTGGAGAGAGCATAGTGTCTAGGGCGGGAATAGGCGGCGCTGAGGAGTCCAAGATGAGAGGCAGTGAGTGAGAGTGAGGACTGGGTTGACGGGAAAGGCAGGCCAAAAGGCGATCCTGGGCCTGTAGAGGGACGGGGGTTTGAAGCCTTGTGGTTTGCTAAAGGAGGACTATGAGTTTCCACTTAAATGGGAAACATGCTGAATTTAATCTTAGCTCCAGGGTGTCAGAACTTGGAGAAATACTGTCTTAGAGGTGGTTATATAGTTGAGATATTTGTAGTTTGTGACAAGATTAAAATTTGAAATGTCCACAAGTAAGATGTTTGATTAGGTGTGTGAGTATTATTAACATTAATCAGTTAAGTAACCTGTTTTATATTGAGTGTTTGGCATTCCTTAAATCAGTACATCTCAAAGTATAGTAAGACTACCACCTCCATCAGAGCATGGGGTTAGAGGTGATTACAAATGCAAATTGCTAGGCACCACCACAGACCTGAATCAGCTTCTGTGGGGAGGGTCCGGAATCTACATAACACTCCATTGGAGGGTTTTTAAAGCTGCTGTTGCTGTGCCAAGCTTTTGCTTTATGTGTAAGGAGGATTTGATAGGTGGATTCTGCACTGGAGTTTAATTGGTTGAGCTGTTTCTATGGTTAGTCTAGACTTCATTTGATTGGTGAGTTCCAGGAGGAGGCAGCCATTAAATTCTCAATGAATTGAAATTACTGAAATTTCAAACTACTAAAACCTTCCTGTGCTGTTACTTAAAACTTTATTTTCTGTTTTAATCGCTGCTTATTTTTGGATCTCATTTCATTTATTACAACAATTGCAAATTGCATTTTCCCTGCTATATTTTAAATGTATAAATATTACTAAGATTCTCAAGCATTGATAGAAAGCTGCTAATTTTGTTTTCTGGTTACAGTTAGCAGAACTATGCTTGAAGAACACAGCATTATACTTGAAAGACCGACATTTTTTAGCTTAAGTGTTAGTGATAAAGCCTTGTAAATTGAGATTACTAAACAATCTGGGTAAAAGACGATTGTCTTTTTTTAATTCATGTTTAGACTTCCGTTGTTGCTGTTAAGTTGTGTGCTCTGGGTGTGTCAGTAAGTGTGTTGTATTGGTTTTGAACAGAATCTTCACCTCTGCTGCCTCTAGTATGCAAGCGTTAAATAGCCCTTACCTTACTGGAAACAGTAACCTTTGTTACAGGTTCTTTTGTTTTGTGTTTGCTCTGACATACACAGACTTCAGTTCTAAAGACGTAGAGATGGAGAATTTGCTAATGGAAATAGGGTAATAGAGGAGAGCCGTTGAATTAGCATTCCAAATGACACTTTCTTTTTGGCTTTAGAATTACCCAGTTTACCACTTTTCCAGTACAACTAAATGAGAGGGGGAGGCGGTCCAGTGAGGGTGGTAGAGAAGTTGGTCTGGGTTTGCCGTAGGTAATCAAGAAGTGACTAACTTACAATTGAGCCTTTGCCTCAGTGTCTGACAGTTTGAACTAAGGTGTCTGTTACAAATGGACGTTGGTGTCCTGAAATGGTAGAAGAGTCAGGCATTGAATATACTCAAAATGTTGTAAATAATATTTCCTTCCAGTTGTAAGATAGATATTTTTTGTGATTATCTCAAAATTAATTATGTTCATTGGGCTACAAATTAACATGGCGGTCTTTAATTCCCATTATAGCCTTAATGTTTAGGAGACTTTGGGACGTTCGTAATATATGGGTCATGATCAAACCCGCTCTGAGCGTTGAATCTTCTCCCAGAGGTGACCAGACACAACCCCATAAAACCAATAGCCAGGTTGTAAAGCAGCAGCAGTGGGAGCCCCAGCTGCCACCTGCCACATCGGAGTAGTAGGGGCACACATAGCGTAACCACATAAGTGCTGTGTGCCGACAGTGGTCCCACGTACCCTAGGTGTGTAGTAAGCTACGCCGTCTAAGTTTGTGTAAGTAGGCTCCGTGGACAACAGAATCGCCTGACGGCGCGTTTCTCAGAGCGTGCCTCCTTCATTAAGCGACTTATACCTGTACCAGGGAGCCTGTAGATCATACCACTCTAAAATGGTCTTGGAATCACAGGACCTGTTGGCTTGTCCATGTAGCAGCTCGTCCTGCTGCATTTTACAAAAGCTTTCTAGGTGAGTCTAATCCTGAGATATATTGGGTGAAACAAAATTAAACCTTTTTTCCTGAGGAACATCAGACCTAGTATCTGGTGTGCATTGTGAACCCTGAAGAGTAGGCTGCAGTGTGCCATGTTTTCCAAACTTTTTACCCATTGCTAGAATATCCCAAGAACGTTTCCCTGAATATTAAGGAGTTTTGCTTTTAATACTTTCTTTGGAATAGGTAAGATAGGAGGGACCAATTGCATAGAAAAGCTGCAAATTTGAGTTAGGGTTAGATATAAAAACAAAGCAGCGGAGCTGGCCCAGTGGTGCAGCAGTTAAGTTCGCATGTTCTGCTTCGGTGGCCTAGGCTTCGCTGGTTCGGATCCCGGGTATGGACCTGGCACCACTTGGCAAGCCATGCTGTGGTAGTCGTCCCACATATAAAGTAGAGGAAGCTGGGCGTAGATGTTAGCTCAGGGCCAATCTTCCTCAGCAAAAAGAGGAAGATTGGCAGTAATTAGCTCAGGGCTAATCTTCCTCAAAAAAAAAAAAAAAACAAATATTTATTGAACATCTACTTGAGGGCAAGGCATTGTGAGAATAAGATGAGATCTCTATTAAGTAATTGGGCATTAAAAGGTGGCTGGTTTGCAAGGCCCTCTTGGCTGTGAGTGCCAAGGAATTGGGAGGAATTCAAGGTTGCCTGCACCTGGGAACCGGGGGCAAGGGGAGTGCTTGCTTTCTCCTTCATGGAATAACCTTGAGCTAGACCTTACCGGGGAGGTAGGCAAGACCTGGCTCTTGATAACAAATGCTACAGAAAGACACGTAGGGATAGTAAAATTCAAATGAAACAAATATTTACAGGAGAGAGAGAGAAGGCTGCAAAGGTTGAAGGTATAAAAGTGAAGGGAATAGTTTTTTCATAAGATGAAATAATACTGTAAGCCATTTGAATTACTTGTTGCTGTGTTAATGCTTTTAAAAGCAGACTCTCAATGGTTTTATTACAAAGTCAGAATGCTTGTAAAAAGCAAGTCGAGCTATTCCCATCTGTGTATCGTCTGTATTATGGGGTATTAGGGAGTTTGAATTGCTTGAGTATTTTGTGTTTCTTTTTTAGTTTTATCATTACGTAAAGATTCCAAAATGGAAATTATTTATTTATTAAGACAAAAATAGCAAGTATAAAAATCTACATCTTTTGTAAATATATCTTGAACAGAGAAATAACTTCCATATAGAAAAAGAGAGAAGGTCGAGTAAGCTCCCTCATTTAATGCCCCTGGCTCACCAGGACAGTCTGGCTAATGACTGGACTAAAGCAGAGCAGTACTTTTCTTCATTCCAAAATGAGCAAGCAGGTGTTTTAACTTAGACTAAAGGATTCTTCAACTTTTTTGACAACTGTAAGATGTACTAATAATTGGAATTATTAATTATAAATAGAAGCTCCCCTTTTTTCTCTTTCCATGCCAAGCGTCAGTGTACAAGTCATATAGGCAGCAGTCTTTGAGTAATAGTGAAAATAAGATGCCTTCAAAGAATCTTACAGTGTAACGGGAACATCCAGAGGGCTCAGCATTAATTCTACAGGGTACCAAATGTCATTACAGATTGGGGTACAGAGAAGAAGGTAGACTTAGGGATGTGGGGCAGGGATCACAACCCTAGGCAAAATAGGTCAAAGTATGTAAATAGCACAAGTCTGGTGTGTTCTGGGACCTGTAGGACTCTAGTGATAAAACTGAAGTGTAGAAGGGAAGGTAGGGGAGGGCTGTGTGATGGAGAGCATTGTCAGCTGTGTCGCATTATTTGGCAAGGCAGAGGCTCCAACAGCTGTATAGGAGTGTAAGAGTCAGAGTAAGGAGGACCTGGCGGTGGGGGAGCGGTTATTGCTTTGGCTACTTGGTTCCATTTATCTTGTAAAGATGAGAATGTTAGTTTAAATTGGATTTCTTGCTTTACTCAAGACACATTTCAGTTAATTAGAAATCACATATTAGCATTAGAAAGATTAAACTTTCTTAGTAGTAGGTTTTAAAATGTAAGACTGGTAAAATAGTCAACATCAGAAGAAGGAAGTTTTTCAAGGGTTCAAAAACCTCATTGTTTTAACTGATAGAGATGTATCTTAACTGCTGTAACAATACCATTAATATTTTTTTTCTTTATTTCTGTTGCAGGAGGCAAGTGAGGCCTATCTGGTTGGCCTTTTTGAAGACACCAACCTGTGTGCTATCCATGCCAAACGTGTAACGATTATGCCAAAAGACATCCAGCTAGCACGCCGCATACGTGGAGAACGTGCTTAAGAGTCCACTATGAGGGGAAACATTTCATTCTTTAAAAAAAAAAAATCTCTTCTTCCTGTTATTGGTAGTTCTGAACGTTAGATATTTTTTTTCCATGGGGTCAAAAGGTACCTAAGTATATGATTGCAAGTGGAAAAATAGGGGACAGAAATCAGGTATTGGCTGTTTTTCCATTTTCATTTGTGTGTGAATTTTTAATATAAATGCGGGGACATAAAGCATTAATGCAAGTCAAAGTGTTTCAGTGAACAAGTTCCAGCAGTTCAACTTTATAACAATTATAAATAAACCTGGTAAATTTTTCTGGACAATGCCAGCATTTGGATTTTTTTAAAACAAGTAAATTTCTTATTGACGGCAACTAAATGGTGTTTGTAGCATTTTTATCATACAGTAGATTCCATCCATTCACTATACTTTTCTAACTGAGTTGTCCTACATGCAAGTACATGTTTTTAATGTTGTCTGTCTTCTGTGCTGTTCCTGTAAGTTTGCTATTAAAAGACATTAAACTCTATCTGCTTTTGGTCTTTATTATCAACTTACCCATACAGTTAATTCACTTGTAATTTCCATATTCTATTAATTTTAATATCAAGTGTTTTCTCACCTTATACCTGAAAGATAAGACCGTTGAGGGTCGGCCCGGTGGTGCAGCAGTTAAGTTCGCACGTTTCGCTTCTCAGAGTCCCAGGGTTCGCCAGTTCGGATCCCGGGTGCGGACATGGCACCACTTGCCATGCCATGCTGTGGTAGGCGTCCCACATATAAAGTAGAGGAAGATGGGCACAGATGTTAGCTCAGGGCCAGGCTTCCTCAGCAAAAAGGACTGGCAGTAGTTAGCTCAGGGCTAATCTTCCTCAAAAAAGAAAAAAAAGGTTGAGAGATGGGGAAAGTGTAAGCTTAGTGTGAGAAGGAAATGAGCTTTTTGGCTTTGCTCCTAATTTTTTTAAGTTTGCAGATAGTAAATCTGTTTGCCACAACTAGATCTTAACTCTGGATATGTTGTATTCTAAACCAAGAATTCCAAAACCTAGCTGGCCGACAGAATCATGTGGAAATAGACCTGTGTAAGTAGTGAAAGTACATTTATAAACATACTACGCTATTAAACTTTAAATGTATAATGGTAATTTAAGTGAAAACGTAAGAGTTAGTCTTCAGCTCAAAAATTAGCGCACTGGAGATCTGGCTGTATTAAGATGCTGTGTATTAACCCTGAAGTTATTAATCAAGCACCAATAGTTAATTCTTAGCGCTGTTTTATTTAGCATTGGAATGATTAATGTGAAAAGGTAATGAACCGTTTAAGACCTATAACATCCCTAACGTACTGACACGAGTTGTAACATTGGAGTGTTTGAAGCTGCTCTGAAAGTGACGTGAAATGTTAACTAATCAAAGGGCTAAGAGTGGACTCGTCAATAAGGTGTAACACCAGGCTTATGTTCTTATTGGTAAGCTTTTTAGCAGTACCTTCATTTTTAGATTATGGGTCATCATAAAATCCTTTAATGAGGGAATTAGGAAATTATTTTCAGAGCCTGTGTCTAATTTGTTAATATGAGATCCTAGTTTTTGTTTTTTGTGAGGAAGATTGGCCCTGAACCAACATGTGTGTCAATCTTCCTCTCTTGTATGTGGATGCCTCCAGAGCGTGGCTTGATGGGCACTGTGTAGGTCCCTGCAAACCCTGGGCCACCGAAGCAGAGCACAAACTTAACCACTATGCCACTGGGCCAGCCCCAAGATCCTAGTTTTTAATATGATTCTGTGCACATTCTACAGGCAGGAGCTGGTATTGGAGTGTTATAAGAGCCTCTATTTTATTCGTTGCGGTACAGCTACCAAAAGCCAGTGGTTGCTGCGAGTGTCCCCTGTTTAGTCCAGTTTATGTAGTGCAAAGGGACAAATGGTAGGCCTATTCATGAAAAATAGGGGAAAAGGGAGTCTCCAGTAGGGCAAGATAGTTGTTACCTGCTATCATCTGTTGTGGACCAATTATTTACAAATAGGAGACGCCATCTTTGGAGTTCTTAGAATCAGTCTTAAATTTTGCTCTAAAAGTGTTAGTGAAGTAAGAGTCTGTTTCTCTGTCCTCCCCCATGAAATGGCTCTGTTAGTTAATTCATGTTGTGAAACAAGTTTTGAGTACCTCCTATGTGCTCACCGTCCAAGTACTAACATACAAAAGGTTGTGTGTTACAAAATGGGGCAGTTAGAAAAAACCTGACACAAAACAGATGAACTTGGCACTCAGTGTACCCAGATGTCTGGTCAGTGTACTGGGCTTGTCTCAATCTACCACGGTCTGTTAAATTCGACGCGTATTCTCATATTCCTGTGAGGTAGAGAACGTGTTCCTACTTACAAATGAGGCAGTAAAATTTGGGAGGGTTATTCTTGACTGACTAGGGTCTGAACGGTGAGCTTAGTCTTGAGCTCAGGGCTATCCTGATAGTCTGCTCCCTACTGTGCTTTGGCATTGCTGCATGACAACCCCAGCCAGGAAAAGTCTAGGGAGCTGCAGTTGGGGCCCTTCTTGGTTAAGCTCAGTTTTAGTCTCTTCAACAAGATAACCAGCTTTTGAATATTAAAGTAACTTATGAAGTAGCCAAGTAACACCTCAAGAGTCCAGAAAATATTCCTAAAGATGCAAAACCCCTATAAAATGATATGGTAAGATAAAAATAATTTGAGGTTGGGGCTGGCCCCGTGGCCGAGTGCTTAAGTTTGCGTGCTCCACTGCAGGCGGCCCAGTGTTTCGTCAGTTCGAATCCTGGGCGCGGACATGGCACTGCTCATCAGACCACGCTGAGGCGACATCCCACATGCCACAACTAGAAGGATCCACAACTAAGAATATGCAACTATGTACTAGGGGTCTTTGGGGAGAAAAAGGAAAAAATAAATAAAATAATAATTTGAGGTAAGTAGGTCTTGGGGAAATCAGGAATACTGTAACCGGGAGAAATTTTCGGAAGGAATTTGGAAACCTCATTCTCTCACACAGATGGCGGGATTCTCAAATTGATGGAGCCTCGCTTGGCAAGTAAGTTAGGTGACTGAGTGCCTGAACGATGCCCAAGCCCTTGCCCTTCGGATCTTGACAGCCTAGACTCTGAGAGGAAATCAATTCACGTTTGCAAATTTAAATGTATCCAGGGTCTGCTAGATGCCGAGGGGCATAAAGATGCTCCAACTTGAACTTAATTCTCAACCACCCTACGAGGGGGCTGCTACTATTTGCCCTATTTTACAGGTGAAGAAGCTTGCCCAAGGTCACACAGTACATCCAGGAGATGGAAGGTGTTCCCCAGTAGACTAAACCCAAGGCCTTGCGCTCTAATTCCAGTGCTCTAAGTGTGATAGATACAAATAAACGAGAGTAGTCAATTTTGCTGGCGTGCTACAAGTTGAGGAAAGTCGTCACAGTAGAAACAAATGGGAGAAGAGACGACTGGGAATGAGGGGGATGGATTTCAGAAATTACAAAACCCTCTGCGTTTGGAAACATGCTACGTACCACGTGCTCAGTCCTGAGCTACCCCCTTAATCCCTCCCTCTCCTTCACCTCCACTGAATTCTGTTGGCTCTTCCTCCAAGAGTGCATCCAAAAACCTTTCCACTTAACCACTTCTACCACCCCGGGCCAAGCTGCCATGCTCTCTCACCTGGACTAGCGCGATAATTGAAACCAGCCTGCATCCGTCCACTCATTCCTTCCAGCCTCTTCACACAGCCCCCAGAGGAATGCTTCTAAAACTTAACCCATTTCAGGTCATCTCCCCACTTAGAAACATCCAGTGGCTCCCATTGCACACTGAGTAACATCTCAACTCGTTGGCTCATGAGGCGGTGCGTGGTCTGGCCTGGCCAATCTTTTCTCTTTCCACCACTTGCTTACTAAGCTGCAGCCAAGCCCTCTGCCCACATACTCTGTCACATCCTTTGACTTCATTTCCTTAGTATTTATCAAAATCTAAAGTTACATTGTTAATTTGTTTACTTTTTAATTGACTACCCTCACTAGAATGTACTATAACGGGTTCGCTGTATTTCCATTATGGCCCCCGTGCTGATACATCGTCCACCTGAACACAAATCTGTCGAATTCACGCTAGAACGAAGGAGTGTTCCTGCTTGCCTTCAGATTTTAACATTACCCTTCTATAACCATAATATATAGTAACTAATTTGTTATTTTGAGGATTAAGTGAAAATAGATGTGAAAACATAGGTTTGGGACATCATAGTCAATAAATGCTGGACTACAATTTAAAATTCTGATCAAGCAAACTAGCACACATATTGTTCCTTGCAAAGCTGTAGAGGAAAATCCTGGCTTCCCGCTCCTGATCTTTCCAAGTAGGCATTTCCTATTAGACTCGTGCTGAATAGTTATCTTCTTATGCCGGTAAGCATCGGTCTCTAAGTGAAAAAGGATTAAGTGGGTACCCCTTTATCATGATACTGTGAGCCAAATCAGTAACAACATGACTAGTGGTGAAACCCTAGGTAAGAGGCGTTCTCTTAAAGTCCTTATGAATACTTTTTTCACCACTATTATTAAACATTCTTTGGGAAGTTCTGGTCAATGAGAAAATGTATTTTTTTAAAAGAAAATAATTATTTGCAGTATAGCTTCATAGTTATGAGTTCAGCTCCGGAGCTAAACTGCCACTCTCCTAGCTGTGTGACTTTAGGCCATTCCCCCAAAACCCCATGCCTCGTTCATTCACTCAGTAGATATTTATGGAGCACCTTCTATGTGCAAGGCACTGCTGTGGGAATACAGAAGCAAACAAGACACAGCTTCCTGTCCTCATGGAGCTACGTTCTAGTGAGGGAAATAGGCAATAAAGATAAAGAAGTAAAACACATAGTTTATTAGATAGCGGTAGAGGCTAAAGAGAAAAAGCTTCGGTGGCTAAGAAGTGCTGTGACACAGCGGGTGTGTGTTGGGAGTTAGGCCAAGGAAGCCTTCACCGAGATGTCTTTTGAGTAAAGACCTGAAGAAAATGAGAGAGCAAGCCACACAGGTGAGAGAGGGGAGGGTTCCAGGCTCTAAGCAGGGCAAGCCTGGTGTGCTCAGGAACAACAGGGAGACAGGCAAGGCTGCCGCGGAGCGAGTGAGCAGAGAAGTAGGAGGGAAATCAGAGACGGAATGGGAGCCAGACTATGCGGGACTTTACAGAGCCCCGAAAGGTCACTGAGTGAGGGCGGAAGCCTCTGCAGTTTTGAGCAGAAGGATGAAATGGTCTGACACAGGTTTTAACAGAACCACTCCAACTACGGTGTGGAAAATAAGAAGAATAAGGGTAGAACAGGAAGGAAAACCAGTTGGAAACCATTGCAGTCACCAAAATGTGACATGCTTCAGTGACTTGCACATGGGTGGTGGCAAGAAGTGGCATTCTGAATATTTTTGAAAGGTAGGATGGCTAGGACTTGCCGATGGCTGTGGGCACGAGAAAGAGAGGGGCTAATGGGGCCAAGGTATTCGGCCTCAGCAAC